TCCCCAAATTCGCCTCCCCCCCCCCCCCCCCCCCCCTTCTTTCCATCTACGCTAGGTTTATAAACGGAAAGACAGGTGAAAGGAGACGAAGGAAGAATGAAATGCATGGTGATAAAAAAAAAGGCAAGTGATATGAGAATGAAGTGAGATTCCTTCCATTCCTCATTCTCTACGAGTGCAGACGAGTGGCATTTTCTTTTTTATTATTATCTTCCTCTTACCCTGGACATCTGGACGTAGATACCGAAGGAAACCAGACAGTATTGGCTTTCCCCCTACCCCGTTTCCCATCGTGTCCAATGCTAAAGATACATCCGTTCAAACTCACCCCATTCCTTGCGCGTACTGGGGCAGGGCTAGCTTCTAATACGTCATTCAAACAAAAAAAAATGGAATGGTGCAACTATCCACACACCGTTTGGGACCTCTGCAGTGAGAAATAATCAGACTGATGCCTACACACATACAATGAATGGGATGAACTTACATTCTTTGAGGTGGAGATATAGTCAAGGATAGAGTTGATGGATTTCTCACTGTAGTTCCGAGTCACTGCATTCTTGATGTAGGTGAGTAGCTGCTTGTACCTTTCCATCATCTCTTCATAATTCCCCTGGGAAGCAAAGCAACACAAGTGCAAGAGTGTGATGGCACCTTCATAAATTACATATTACAGGGTGCGGCAGAATGGAGTCCCACATTTAAAAGGTTAATAAAAAAGAAACGGTAAAAGATACGAAAAAAAAAACTTTTATTTCTGAAAAGTACATGTAATAAGGTTTCATTTACCCCTTAGGTTTTAAAAATTATGTCGGGCAAATGGCGGCCGTCATGGATGATACACTTCCGAAGTGCTTCCCTGAAGTGTGGAGGCGATAAGAGAAGAAATCGCCGCTATTCCTCGAGATATGCTGAAGAGAGTGATGCAACACTTCAGGGAAGCACTTCGGAAGTGTATCATCCATGACGGCCGCCATTTGCCCGACATAATTTTTAAAACCTAAGGGGTAAATGAAACCTTATTACATGTACTTCTCAGAAATAAAAGTTTTTTTTTCGTATCTTTTACCGTTTCTTTTTTTATTAACCTTTTAAATGTGGGACTCCATTCTGCCGCACCCTGTACGATTAGTTCCAGCATGGTTTCAAACATTCAGTGCCATATATATTGAGTTGAAGTTCAAACTGAACTTCAAATTGCTAAAATAAATAAAATAAATAGCTAAAATTGTCAAACAAAGTTTATTTTCATCTTCAGTTATAATTTCTGTCTAAAAAAGGTATTTTCTTTAGTTTAACCTGTAGCATCATGCTCTAAGTTTAGTTTCACCTAGTTTTGCAACTTGAACTCGTGACCAAATGTTGGGAAGAAGTAAGATTGCCTTTTCCTTCCTGCTTATTGAACTCATCATATGATGCTATGAGGCCATCACTGCTAAAAAGCTCACTTAGGAACAGCATAAAAAAATTTTAAAGTTTATGTCTCACCCCAGTTATGCAAACTTCCATAATTCTTATATGAGAATATCTTATTTATAAAGGTGTTTTAGCAGTCATCTTAAAGAAAAGGAGTTTATTTTCAGTATCACAGAAAGGTGAATGAACTTACAAGTCGGAAGTGAATTTTGATCATCTGTTTCAGAGCCTTGAATCCCCAGTCTCCCTTCTCTCCATTAGCCTCTTCAAGTTCTAGAACCCGAGAGAAGGCTTTCAAAGCTCCCTTAGGGTCTTCCTCTTTCAGAGCTTTGCTGTTGTAGTACTGGTTCTCCAAGTCCACATCTGGTTCAGAATTGCTGTCTTCACTGTACTCCTGTCATAATTACAAATGAAAGGAGGCATCCAATCATATTACCTTGTCATGTCAGTAGAAATATCAGACACTACAAAGCCTATTACTGAATGTGCTAGTTGTAATAGTTGCAATAGGTCTGCAAAATGACTCAATAATCTAAATCATTCTATGAGCACAGAGTACTGCCTGATGAAAGAAAGGACTTTCTTTTAAAATACAAATCTATTTCTCCTAAGGGCCTGAACATTAACTGACTGATTTTCTTACAGATGGATACTAAAACTAGGTTTCATTTATTCATTAGGATATATCCTCTCCCATTCTGCAGCAGGTGAAAACTCATAGTCTCTTAGTGATAGGAAAGGGAAGTTCTTTCAACTATGGTAGAAGAGGTGGAAAAAAATGAAAAAAGCATGAATGGACCTTTTTTTCTCTTTCCAATCCATCTTTTATTTTGCACCTCCTAAATAGAAGGAAAAATCAGAATTTTTACTACCTTTCCTGGTATCATTTTCTGATTTCTGGTCCTGCTGTCAAGCCAGCACAGACCCAATTCTGTTACATCAAAATGAATTTCACTCCTGTTCCCTCCCAATTTTCAAAAATTTCTATTGGAATCACTGGGCATTGTTTGCTTTATTGTCAATGAAACTGCCAGCCTGGCATGAACAATTTAATATCATCAGAGAAAAGCTTGATCCAGTAATTAATTCAGAGGAAGTGGACTCCAGATTCCATTTCCATTTATCATCTACCCCAGCCTCCCCCAAATCATCAGGCTTGGTTTATCCAGGTTCATCATCACCTACTCTGTGTCCCAGAAGTTAGAAGAAAGAGCATTCAGAAGTTGAGTGAATACCCAGTTATATGGTTTGCATAACCCAGTTATAACATATGTGTTTGCAATTAAATTTGAGTTCTTAAAAGGGCAGAAGGAATGAATGAGGAGGGTGATCAGCCAATGTAAAGAAGGCTTTGGTGAATAATGAGAACAAAAGGGATATTATACACTGGGAAAGAAGAGAATCTGATTGAAATTAAACCCCAGCCCAATGGGTCTGGTGATTACAGAGTAAATGCAAGACCGGTGCGAACAAGATTAAATCTGGGTGACCTATATGGGCATGAAATAAAGAAGACTGAATGGGCTGGAGCCTACCTGTAAAGAATAATTTAAATGTAGATAATGGCTTTCCCATGGCTGCCTTGAATTAGTAGTAGATACACTTCCAGGGAAGTATCTCTACTACTAATTCTGTATTCTCATGGCTAACTCTTACTTCAACCTGTTGATCTCAGCTTACAACTCATCACCAATACCAAATGTTGCAGGTTCAATCTTTGCTCACACCCTCACTTCCTTTTCACATCCACTTTAACAAAGTTCCGAGTAATTAGGAAGCCCAATGGCAGGGTATTTGAAACGAGGCCCCAAAAGAAATGAATGATCCAATATGAAAGAAACTGAATGTACCCAGTAGCTAACGTTAAAATCTACTTATGAGGGCAAAGGAGTTTATCTAACTCCACTGATTGCAGAAAAAATGACGCTTGATTTAATCTGCGTTTATCTCACTAAGTATAGCACATAAGACTTACCAAATCATACTCCTCATCATCCATGTTAAACTCGTCGTCCAGGCCTATGTCAGACATCTCCGTCTTGAACCTTTTAATATCTGAAATGACATGAAGGGACTTCACAAGCTGTTCACAAGACGTAGGCTTATGGGAAATCTCGACGCGATAGGATCACTCGTAGCCTAGGCCCTCTGCAAGATCATCATTGCAATGGTCACTTTCAGGCGACAGGTTTATAGGCCCGGTCCCGGTTGGCAGGTGGAGAACGCCATCATGGACCTCGCACGGAACTTTAGTTATCAACTGAGACACCAGATGGCATTCAGGTGCATTCTACAAGATAACCCAAGGTTCGTTTATATGGATCTTTGGCCAAACCACCATTCTGTGGGATTTGAAGAGGTAAGAAGATTTTGTCCCATTTCTATCCCCCACCAAGGACCCTGCTGCATTTGCTCTCACTCTCGCACTCATTTGTGAGATGGAGGGATCCTCCATTCCACAATCTCCCACCTTCAAATTGCTTGGGGTAACATTTCAAGGGAACTTCCGTTGGACCACTCAATTTCAAAACTTTCGCACCAAGGCTACTCGGAAGCTGAATTGCTTTAAAATTCCTTCTGGTAAAAGCAAATGTGAGTCACATCATCTTGCAGCTGTAAAAAGCATATTTTCACTCTGTCATGGCCTATGCCTTCGCAGCCTGGGCAAATATCTCTGATCCAACTCCTTCCACTAGAGCGGATAGAATGAGTAGCACTAAAATATTCCTTTCGCATTCCTAAACGCTACCCAACCAAGTACATGAACCAAATGAGTAGAATTACCCCCATTCCTATTTATGCTACAAACCTGGCGAACAATCTCTAAAACAGTTCCATCCATATTCACATCCCCAGTTCAAAATCCCAACTGGAATTTTCCAGCAGGACAAAAGCTGTAAATTCGGACCATATCCTGCTGGCAAAGAGCTAGAAAATGGTAGATACAGGTTGTTTTACAGCTGGAATTTTTCAACTGGAATGCAGTAAGCTTTAATAGCTGTTTCCAGCTGAAAATTCGGCACCGAGAATAATTTCCCGCTCTTTCGATATTGGTTTTCTTCTCATCTCATGAGTTCCGAGCGGGCTGATATCGCATATTCACTGTAGATTTATATCAGCAGATTCGGAAGATTTATCGGGACACATAGCATATCCCTTCCGTGTGGTCTCTCTTTCAAGCTCGCAATATCGTTAGCGAATCGGTTCAGTCGGATCGCTGGAGAGCGACCGGACGGAAAAGGATGAGAAGTGAATTGCGGAATCGCGGAGGCATCCGCTTCTGTATGTGATGAAAAGAGCGTTTGGACTTGGTAATCAAGGAGAATCCGTAGAAAAATAATGGGGAACGTCTGGAAGTTTCGGTGAGTTCAGGCAGCTCACAGAGTGAACTCTTGTCTTTCTTTCCAACTCTGCCAAATATAGACATCTTGTATCATTTGAAATGTCTGTTTTTGCGCATAATTAGTATAAATAATTTGACACCTTATTAATCTCAAGCATAGGAAGCGATCACTCGGTATAAATTGCCTTCCGTCCGGAGAAAGCGACGGCGGAAAACGGAAATTTCCATTCTTATGGTTTTGACGTCAGATGTCAGTCGCTTTCCGCGCCCTTTTCCACCTCAAGACTGGGGGGGCTACGATCGATTCGCGATCACAAAAGTCGGATTACGTCAGTTGCTAGCGTGCCTGGCTAAGAATTAGATAAGCACCTTTCCTTTAATCCATTACCGTTTGGATATCCCTACAGCTTCATCTCCCTTTCAGACTTTTCCTGTCGAGTCCAGTTTCATTCTCACTTATAGGGAAAAGAAAATCACTCCGCGAATCCTCTTTCGTGTCACAAGGATCGCCTGATATTCGTTTCTTCTTCTTTCCATGAAGTTAGAGGAGGTATTACCTACAGTCCTATTGGATATAGGAGTCCCATCTCAGACTACGATGTATTTCAACATCCCCTTTAAAAATGTCCCACATAAATGTCATGTGAATCAGCCATGAATCTCCTGTGAGAATCGTGAAGCAGACATGAGTTAAATGTACTTCACAGGGAATCTAAAGTGGTTCTGAAGCGTGAAATTCTGGCAGGGTTTCTTCTTGGATTCAAACGAGGAGTAGGTATGAAATGGGTTCGGGCGCAGGACAATTCGATCGTGAGCGACGAGGATGAAAGTCGATGTGAAACACGTGTGAGGCACACGTGGTCACATCGAAAAAAAAATCTAAATTCACACTTTCGAATATTTTTGTAAGGGTCGTTCCAAGATATCCCTCCACCTTACAAATAGCAAACCCTCGCGATGCAACCACGAACGCGAGAGGCAGATCGGTCTCGTTCTCACGGATTCCCATTGCCAGATAACCAGTTTTATCTGGGAAGAGGGCCGGAGATCCTCACACTCCGGCTTTGGCATCACTGCACGACTGCTAGAAGATACAAAGATACAACTGGGAAAACGAGAAGTCAGCGACATGAAGGTTGTCTTCGCTCTCCTCATCCTCGGAGTTGCAGTCTGTGAGTTATCTTGCATCTTTTTTTTTCTTCTGTATCTTGATTTGCCTGATCAATTCTCGAAACTCTCTACATTTTCATGCAACATTTCCAAACAATTTGGATATCTATTTTTTTTTGCTGATTACTAACCTTTTTTCTTTTACTTGGTAATTTAAAAAAAGCTTTTAAAATTCTCTATTTTGTTTTCTTTCGCCGGAATCTTTCATGATACCATGTCGAAAAGGCTTCGCTATACGGTAGTTTCGAATCAAAACGAACTGATCATCGGGACCTAGCTTCATGGACAATGTCTTCATCACAAACTTGCACTACTTACACGAACGCTGTGAAGCCTTCATATCATTCGTATGACTTGGGATAGAACTTTCCCCGAGGAATCCCCACGTCAGGATTGCACTTTTGACTCGGTAGATGCAGAGCAGCCACCCGAACCGTGCTGCTGCGACCCTCGCGATGGCTGCGACCCCGACGGCTGCTTCGACGCCTGCCTCAACGGCTTGCCCGAAACCACCGGGATCTGCTTCGAACCCCCCTACAACTGTTGGTGTTTTGACTTCGGCTGCACGAGTGAGTCCTGTTTCGTCTCAAGCTATTGAGCCCCAGTAACCACGTGACTGCCTGGGAGCAGGTACGTTAGGCCTCTCCATGGTGTGGAACAATTACCGGCACGTTGACAGATGTTGAAATGAAGCGATTAATCCACATATTTTGAACAGTGTCTCATTTCAATATTGGCGCAAGCTTGAAGCAAATATTTTCTTTAGCTGCATAGCTTCATAGCTGCAAAATTTCTTTTTTTTAAAGTTATTCTTGCTCAATCTTGACGTTACATTGTTGCGCAAACTGGGACAGTATCAGGCAAGAATACATATTCTCATAAGTCTGCGATTATTTCTGTACAATTTAATCTTCCTTATTCCAGATGCATTGGCGGATAAGGCGAACTTCTTCAAGGGCTTCAAGGCCAAACGAATCTAATTGAGGATCCTCTTCATCTTACCGTCTCAAAATGCTTGGCGGGGAATAAAATATGATGTGATGACGGAAACCTAAAAAAAATTTTGCCTGATATTTATCGGCTTTATGATGGAAATCTCTATTTGTCCCCTTCGAGTGTCAATTTCCTTTGGACCTTTGGGCCTCCACTGATTTCAATGAGTGGAGCTTTTGGAGCTTTTGGAAGCTGCTGCAGCATTTTTCGTAAAAAGTCCATTGGGACTTTTTACGAAAATATACATTTCAGGTTATGAGGGAAACTACGAGGGGAGGGGGGGGGGGGACACGTTGTTTTGAGAAAGAAGAAATTAGTCTGACCATGGATAAGAGAAATGTGCAATAACATCGTAGAGGCTGGCTCCGTGTTGGGGATATAACTTTACTTCACTAGATTTTCTATATACCTCGTACGTTTAAAATGGGTTTTGGACTCATTCCGTGAATGGGTGATTCCGTTAATAGGTCATTCTCTGTTAATATGTAATTACCGTCTGAAATCATTCGGAGCTCAAAACTCGGTAATGGAATGAGATAAACAAGTTGCTTTTTTTTTACCGATTCGAGATGCATCCGATGATGCAAATACAAAAAGTACCCAAAATTAGTATCCTCTTTTCTTTATTTCCACTACCATATAGCTTTTCCAAAAAATTAGAGGGTGGAGGAGGCGGATAGAGGAGGGGGCGTTTTTCCGTTCAGATTCTGAACTCCAAGCTGCATTCTCATTCCCTCTGACCTGCCTAATTCCTCTTCGAAAAGGATATGAAAGTCGTAATCCAAAATCCGAATCGATAAGGGCTCAGGATATTGAGCGATTTGATCTTTCTCAAGATTGGATGTCCCACCGCTTTTTTTTATCATGGAAAGTTATGCAACATTGGAATGAAAAAAAAGTGGACCAGGAAGCCACGGAAGTAAGATTCTATTGTAAAGCTAGAAAATTTCAGACCGTATACATTTTAAATTCAATGTATGGATCCTCTTGGTATGAGCTATTTCTCTTAGGTACGAGAGTACCAAAACATCGACGACGGACGCTCAGCCATTCCCGTCATTCGTTGAGAGCGACTGCGAAACTAGTCACCGAACCAAGAGGATCCTTTGGAACAAGAAAACTCCGAGGGTACCCTCCATTGAGGGCTGGTCACATGGCAACCAATCTCTTTGCTGAAATTTTAAACGGTACTGAGCTATTCTCGTGAAACATTCACCATGCATACATGAATGTTTCCAACTGACGTTAGACATGGACAAGAGCTTCTGGGGCCTGTTTCATGGAATTTACAAGTTCTACATATTACAAGCTACAAGTAATTACAAGGGTCGTGTCGTGGTAGTGCGAAGGGCCAGCGGGACCACTTGGAAGAGTTAGACAAGAAGACACGACCCCTGCAAGTACTAGTAACCCGTAACTTGTAACTTGTAAATTCTATGAAACAGGCTCCTGGTGGTTTTGCATTGCCCTTCCTGGTCATCAAGACCACTTCCAACTCCTCTACCACTCAAATTCATTCTTTGGGTTGGTCGTCTATTGCAGGTGGTTTTCATCAGCTCGTTCCCAATGAATGGCATATGAATCAATGAGTCTCTATCTGAAGAGTTTTCTCAAAGTTCAAAGTTAAGGGAAATTCATTTAGAATTTCCTTTAATTTACGTCAGCCTGAGTCTGTATGGTATGGCAAAAAATACCGATGGCTTCAAGTGCATCTAATCATTTATTAAGTCTTATCTCACCAAATCTGCCGAGGATGAAGGAAGTCTTCTTTTACTTGAAGGTCAACAAGGCTACCAAATCCAACAATTCAAGTCTAAGTTATGAGCGATATTCTATGACGAGTCTAATATTTAAAATGGACAATTCCTTTAAAAAAAAAAACAATGGGGAATTCTGAACGTACTTAGTGAAAGCTTTTTGGATCGTTACTGGTTGTCTCATCTGCTATTCAGTGAGAATAAACTGATGAAAACCATCTGCAAGAGACAACCGGCCCAAAGAATGAATCAGAGTGGAATTTGAGAGCTTCTCGATTCCAGGTTCTGAGACCCCGCCTCTTTCATCCACGCACACTGGACGTGGTCCTTTGGTCACGATTACGACAATACCTCTGGGAAGGGCCTTGGAGACTAGGGTCGTGAATAAAAACACAATCCCCAGCCTCACGGTGAAGTCGAGCTCATGTCGAAATCAGAGCGAGTACATCAGGGTCCGATCACGTGGAATAGCATTGCTTCAATGAGGCTGTGAGCGAAAAGGCAACCCGATGAACCCGAAATTCGCTGTAAAATGAATGGCAATTGATTTCTTTTCTTTCTTTTTCTTCCCCCGACCAATCGCGGAGGCAAATTCGTAACTCGTGAGAAGTGACTTCATAAATAATTCTTTGAAACTTCCATGTTTTTCATGATCCTTGTAAGTTGCTCGACAACCGGGGCGTTATCTTCCTATTATTTACGATGACCATGTCCAAAACAGCTATTTACTTAGGGTAGACATGGATGTGAGGGGCTCCGTTTCCCTTCTTCCCTGTGGCATTCTTTTGAGACGTCAATGACCGGAATATGAAAGAAGCCAAATTATTTGGTGAAATATAAACGTTTTGGAACCGAAATTTCAGGTTCGATTGTGGCATACGAAATACCCGTGAACAGGTGGCACCTCCTTCGTCGCAGCTTTCATTTGAGGCAAATATTACATCCTTGCTCAATTAAGGTTCAATTAAGATGAGCGTTTGACCCACTTTTCCACGGGGGGGGGGGTTTGGGGTGAATATCTCGTGAACCGTTTGTGTCAAAGGGCTGAAATTGGGGGTCTTTTCACAACTCAGGGAAGTCATCATACTGTCACGGCGAGAGAGTAAGAGCATGAGACCCCGGTGAGGGGGTGATTGACACCTGACCTATACTTTCAACCTCCGCCTCTAGATGTCGCTAGCGAGCCCTGGTGATTGTGAATAATAAACATATATGAAATTAAAAGTTATATTTCCAACTTGGAATAAAATAGCCAGGGAAGCCTCTAGTGACCCTAGGCCGGTAGGTGGGAAAAGAAGTGGAAGTGTCCTGACCTTAAAGGACTTCAGGTCCCGTCAACAATGACCTCACTGTCCCTAGAGAGTCTGCCCACCCGAGGACACCCTAAGAGAACCTCTCCCCGACCAGCGACTAGGAAAATGTTAATTATTTGGGGATCACGACCAGGATGTAAAGTACATGGTGTATGATAAGTAACTCCCTATTTTGAAATGCTTGTAACTCTTTTATTTTTTTTTAAACAAAACTTAATGAAACAAACTGTGAGTTATGCACCAATTAGTGAGGTTTTTATTTTCGTTTGTGTTTTTGTTTCAGGTTAAATAACGGCTAACAGACTAACAGTTTAACAAAGGGCCAAAATAACTGCCTGTTACGAGGTTTGGGGATCAATAATTAAAGTTCAGCGATGGTGGAGGGTTAAAAATGGTCCTCATGCAACACTGGATGCTAAGACGATAAATAAATGTCATCCGAAGTTAATGACAATAGGTTCAGTAACAGACAATACCAAATCATGACGACCATCAACCTCGCGAACACCTGAAAACACTGAAAATTTGAACGCAATGTTTACAAGAATTCTGGTGAATCAGTTCGTACAGACACTCGTTCTTAGTGAACTGAATGAAATCTTAATGAACTTGAAGAAAGAATCATCAATGCTCTTCATAACGTACCTCGATACATGTTACGATCAGCCGTAGGAAACATACCTGTTCGCTTAAGGAGATGTGTTGACAATGCAGGAGCATACGTGGAAGTGTGAAGATTAGACGAATAAAACCCTCACTAAGTGGTGCATAATTCACAGTTTGTTTAATTAAATTTCGTTAAAATAAAAGAGTTGCAAGCATTTTAAAATAGGGAGTTACTTATACACCCTGTAGTGGATTCCAGGCACTACCTAAGCCTTGAAGAGGTAGGAACGGACCGTATACGCTCTGCGACCAGGAGACATATTTTCCTGGAACAGGCCCGACCGCGCCTGTAGAACTTACCCCTGTAGTCCAACACGACCGCGGGTCGAGACTAAGTGGGTCGGGGCGACGAGCAGGTTATGTGCCGGCCGTCTAGCACGGGCGAGCACTGCCCTGGAGTTAGCAGAGGCGCGAGGACGCATTGCTTCCCTCGCGGTACAGTCATGGAAGAGACGAATGTTTTCCAGGCCGTAGAGGACACCGCCTGCTACCATAGAGTAGAGCAGGGATGTGCAACCCGCGTCCCGCGGGCTGCATGTGGCCCGTGGACACCTGCTTCTTGCGACCCGGTAATGCATAATGGGATAACTGATGAGTTTCTTCGCGGCCAAAGGCCCATCACAACTTTGGTCATCCCCTAATAACAAGAAATCGACTGAGTCCTTTCACTTCCTTCTAATTTTTCCTCATACGGGCGGTGCAATAGTGTTTCCCATTGACTTTCGTATCTGCCGCATAACGTTACGCACGAGCGGCAAATTTTTTCGTACTCCTTTCAAAATGATCCGCACGTGTTGCATAATGTTTCGTACTTCCCCCCTCCCGCCCAACGAGCAAGTGCCTCTCCGAATGACGCATCCATCTGACAACCCTCGGAGAGAGGAATGCATGGCTTGTGGATAGACTTTAGAATGGATGGATTCGAATCCTCCGATACACGGATTACTCTGAAGTACTCCATGGAAAGACCTGTAAGTAAATGGAAAAGGAGTTCCATACTTAGGAATTCTTATTGATGAAATTTCAAATAATGATATGATATGCGTCAGGAGTGGCCCTCTTTCGAATGGACGCCATAACGACCAAGCGCGAAACTGACGAATACCGTACCATCAACGGGGGACTTTGCGATGCAGCCGTTGTTTCAAGGGTCCCGGCCATAGTTCCCATCAAGGTTGTCAGGTGGTCTTGCCATTCTGAGCAGCACTGGAGGAGTGGAGGAGAGCAGGGGGTACGAAACATTATGCAACGCGTACGATCCATTTTGAGGGAGGTGCGAAGTATTCTGCCGCTAGTGCTAAGCATTCTGCAAGACGTGCGAAGCTCAC